GGAGTGTATAGTAACTGGTACTGATTGGTGGAGACAACAATACAGAACAATTAACTTAGTCACATGACTGACGCTTGGGACAAAATTAGGATACAGATAGCTACGTGATATCTAGTTTCTAGGAAATACAGTGTATCATGTTGACATTGGAGATGTCTTATGAGGACTGTTTTCGTAGCACAAAGCAGGAACCAAATAATCGCAAAAGACGTGAGTGCATTTAGAAAATTACTGAATTAGTCTGTCTTCAATATCAGAGATTCATGCCTTAATTTGAAACTTCAGGAATGCTTATCAGTTTCTTCACCCAAGTACCTCAATTATGTAAAAAATGTCTCCAAACATTCCTAGATAAGGCTATTTTATAAAATGCAAAGGATTGAAGTTTGAACATTTTTATACAAGACTCTAACCATGCTGTGATGTTGTGTAATTGGCATATCAGTACTTGGTGCCCCTCACTTACCCTGATGTTTCCTTTTTTTGTCCAATACTTGTAGAATAATATGCAAGAGATTGTTTATGTACACAGTTTCCCTTGACTTGAACTGCTCCACTAAAGCTTAATGTTTTCCCAGGCTTACTAGATTACTTCTGGAAGGAGCAACTATCACATTCTTATGTGAGTCATGAATCTTCCATATGAAGACGGGGAGATCCAGGAGTTTTAATACTGTATATGCCCATAAATATTAATATTGTGTTCTCTGAACATCAGTTTTTTTTCATTGGTCGAGGCTTTTGGGTCATAAACAAATCTGTACGAATAACTAATGTGCTTTTATTGACACATCATGAGCTCATCAAGTGGCACAGTGCCCTAAGGAGAAGGTATTTGTAATGACTTGCTTCATAATGTGAGACGCATGGTCCAGTTTCTTTCTGGAGTATTGCCACCGTTTGATGATACTGAAGCACTGCGGCCCAGTGTGCTGCCCATTTCCAGCTGCCATGTCTGTCTCTGTATTGCAGGTGAACCTCTTTGTGCTGCTGTCTGTGGTCTGCGTCCTGCTCAACTTGGCCGGCTTTGTTCTGTGCTGTCAAGGAGCCCAGCTCGTCTCCAGCATGTCCAGCTGCCAGCTGGTAAGTATGGGTCCCAGTTCATGCATCTCTGAGTGCCTGTCTTTGATTATGTGCCCTCTATAAGCAAAAAAATAAAAAAAACAATAAGCTACAGATACACTTTGGAAGCAAAGGTTTAGCGAGGTGTTCTATTTTGTAACGCCTTGACCTGAAATACCAAGAAAAATGCTAAAATAAGGGTATTATTATTAGAATACCATCATTTTTCAAAGATAAAAGTCTCAATTAGTCATTTTGCATAGGTCACAAAAAACCTTTCACGTTGGATCTGGAAATCCTTTTAAGGAGCGACGCTACCTGTGACTGTTCCTGGACATGCTGAGTGGTATGCAGAAATGTATTCATCTTGTTTACCCAGGACTAGAAGAACCGTGTTCAGCGGATTGATAAAATATAAATGGGGCCTCCAGCATGCCTGGTCTCCCTGGAAGAATAAATGTGCATCTGTGTTGCGTCACACTCTATTTATGGCAACGGCAGGAAACCAGACACCCTGCAGAGCAGGAAGACAAGCCTCTGGACAGGAGCTCAGAGCAGCCTGCCTCTCAGTACTGAGGCCGAGATCCCCCTTCAGCGCTTCAAGCTGCTCTCTCATCACTTGACGTAGTGTTTCCACACTGGTGATTATCGTAAAACAGTGGCTAAGCTCGGCACGTTGGCACAGTAGTTGGCGTTGGCTGTGTTGGGGGCCGGGGTTCAATTCTAGATGTGGGGGGCTGTCTGCGTGGAGTGTGTGTGTTCTCCCCATGTTCGTGTGGGTTTCCTCCAGGTGCTCCAGTTTTCTCCCGCAGTCCAAAGACATATTGGCAGGCTAATCGGCTTCTAGGAAATCTGGCCTTAGTGTGAGTGTGTGTGTTGTTGTTGTGTCTCTGTGTGCCCTGTGATGGACTGGCGTCTTGCCTTGTGCCTGTTTCTTGCCCAGAAGAAACAGGCTCTGGCTCCCGTGCAGTTAGATAATGGGACGGACGGATGGTAACATCCCTACCAGGGAATATATCAATATGCTCAGCAAGCCTTTTAGACCTCCCCCCTTCTTACTGTTTGAGCAGAAAATAATGTTGTGTTCGTAGGGGTTTGACCAAAAGCTTTTCAAAGAGCACTTTAAGACTTTTGTTTTATTGAGCATGACAACATGAGTCCAAATACAAAGCCTACGACTTGGAATCCAAATCCGAAGGGTCTTAGCCTTTGAAGTTGGATTCCAAGATATTTGAATTAATAAATCCTGCCCCAGTTGGAGTTAGAATAATAACAGGATGAATCAAAGATTTGCCACATGTTTTGTGTCATTCTTGAACAGAACGACAGCAGAGAATTATGATGGTGATGGTTGTTTTGTATTTTGAAAATCATTTACGGTGCAGACTCAGCACAGCTGTCACTGGGGAATAAGGCCAGAGACTTGCATTATAGTGAGGAATTGGCACGCCTGACATCTGGCTGACAGCTCTGCCCCACAATCCATTCACTGTCCAGGGATATAACATTTTACCTGTTATAGAACATCTTTTACCTGTTTTAGAGGTAGTAACAGTAGTACTCCGATCCCTTTTTCAGTATCTTTGAAAATCTCTTTACTTCTGATGGATATTTGTTTGAGGGGAACTTGAAAATAAACTTAAAATACACAGGATCCGGTGACATTATTAGAGCACATCAGCAAACATCACACTAAAGACGTTTCTCACAAGTTTTACTTGTTAGTATAAATTTTCTTTCAGGATCAGAGTCCTTTCCATAGTCAGGAAAATATACTGAGCATCCAAACATATGACCCCATTTGTAATTTTAGAAAAACAAAAACATTTGGATTTTGGATGTAGATTAAATGTTTTTGGTGGCATTTTGATTATGCCATGATTGGGTGTTCATGATTGGCCATGATGCACCCTAATAACATTAACTGATTCATAACCACTGAAGCATCTCATTAGTGAGGATCTTGATGATAATAATAATTCCTTACATTTATATAGCGCTTTTCTGGACACTCCACTCAAAGCGCTTTACAGGTAACGGGGACTCCCCTCCACCACCACCAATGTGCAGCATCCACCTGGTTGATGTGACGCCAGCCATAGTGCGCCAGAACGCTCATCACACATCAGCTATTAGTGGGGAGGAGAACAGAGTGATGATGCCAAACCATAGATGTGGATTATTAGGAGGCCATGATTGGTAAGAGCCAATGAGAAATTTGGCCAGGGTGCCGGGGTAACACCCCTACTCTTTTTGAGAAATGTCCTGGGATTTTTAATGACCACATAGAGTTAGAACCCCAGTTTTACATCTCATCCAAAGGACGGCGCCTTTTTACAGTATAATGTCCCCATCACTATACTGAGGCATTATGACCCACAAAGACCACAGGGTGAGGGCCCCTGCTGGCCCCACTAACACCTCTTCCAGCAGCAACCTAAGCTTTTCCCAGGAGGTCTCCCATCCAGGTACTGACCGGGCTCACACCTGCTGAGCTTCAGTGGGTTGCCAGTTGTGAATTGCTGGGTGATAGGCCCACGGATGATCAAATAATTTAACCTGGTGAAAGTCAAGTCTGGTAAAAATCAAGAATGATGATGTGGTACTTATGGTGGAAACAACACTTCTGTGCCACTGGTACATGGTGCAGTGGTGCCAGGTTGTCTGTAGTGCATGCCACCCTGACAGGCCTTTGTAAGTGTGATACAGATGTGCAGAGCAGTACACCAACTGTTGTGCTGTTGTGTGCAACAGACAGATTGATGGGGCAATCGAAGTGCGATGGTCTGGTTTCGTCCATTTCACTTGATGGCAGCCTGGCGCTGCTTTGATCGTGTCCTGGTACCTCACTTGCTGCCCTTTCTGTAGGCCCGGTGTGATGACATTCCAGGAGGGCAGCACACTCATTTCTCATTTATATGGTTTGTTCAAAGTTACTAAGTTTATAAAACTGTAAGATTTTTCATAATGTGTGGACATATGTTATGGATACCATAACCAGCATGGATACCAGAAACATCCATGAAATTAACCATGATTGAAGGCACTGGAACCTAACGGAACCTTATTCAGATGGAGTGTTCAGGCGTACCTTAGGAAATGTGGAAAGTTATTTATAAACTGCAGATTCCTGAAGGTTCTCTCTTTAGGCTTGCTGAGACATTGCAAATGTAATAGCAATACAGACAGAGAAGAAAAGGTGATTGGGAGATCCATTTGCATGTCCAACTTCCTTCAGATTATTTGCTAGGAAGGTCCAATGTTTCTATAACACGCTTCAGAGTGATTGTTTCACTTTTGGCAAATTCTTTGTTGGAATCCAAGCAATGAAGTTTATATAGCATACTTGGAGTGGGCTGATTTACATGTTCTTGTAAGGAGTGTGAAACGCAGCCGGCTTCCTCTGGTGTCCACTCTTATCACAGACGTGAGTTGGGAAGTCTTGCCTGGAGTCTGATGAAGTGATTTGTCTGTTCCTGCTCAGAGTGAAGTGGGGGATGTGTGTCAGTGCTGTGCAGACACTCAGAGTGCCAAGTGTCCGGAAGAGAAGCTCTTAAAGCTGTACCCTGGGAATTCCTGCAGTACCATGCGCATGCTGTTGAAGGTATGAGCAAAAGAGCAAAATTGAGTCAAATGCCTTTACTTAAATGTTGCTTTTTCTTTATTATGTTGTTATAAAATTTGTGTGAAAGGATCATTATTTGGCCCATCGTTTTTTCTGTACATACATGTACCAGAGTACGTAGTCTGATGGTATTTTTTAAGTCTGCTGTATAAGGATGTACGTAGTACTGTTTAAAATGAGTATGAATCTGAATAGAATAATTGAATTATTTTAAACCGATACCACTGTGAATTGTAACTATATAAAATGAAATGCAATAATACAACACAGGTTTTTATTAATTTTACTTTCAAGAACTATGTTCTGTATTAGGGGTACTTTCAATCTGAAATTAAGTTTATTTTCTTCCTTTGGCTTTTTCTAGAAAGTTCTGTTTGCCCTCTGTGCTCTGAATGCACTGACAACAGCTGTATGCTTAGTGGCCGCAGCCTTAAGATACCTCCAGATATTTGCAGCACGAAGACCCTGCATAGTAAGTGAGTGATAGCTGTACCTTACAGCAACAATCACGCACGTTGGGTTTATTTTGGTCCATTATTGAAATTAATTTTGCAATTAATTAATTGCCATGTCAGAACTTTATTTAAGGGAAAAGGTTTAGTATATTTATTTTGATGCTGACCAGGAATTACAATGTAGAAAAAGAAACAATAGTGAGAACACGTGGTTCTTTTCAAACTTTGCAAATTTACATTGCCCATTTAAAAAAAAAAATGTAATACCTAGTTCTTTAGTCAATAAAATAAAAGTCATCATACTCAGGCAAACACTCTGAATGTGTCTATCTCATCCCCTCCATTGTGAATTTCTACTACGTCTGTCTGGGATGTCAGAGATGCCTCTGTGTCCCCAGGTGTAAAAGTAACACACTTTAGAAATCTTTCATCTCTGCTGCAATATCGCTCTTAAACAATGTAAAGTAACTCTTATCTCCTGTAACACTATGGCCCCATCCTCTCTGTTGGTAATGTTTGTCTATCCTTGTTGTTTTGTTATATTGGACTGTGTTGTAAAACCAATGACCCCCCAGGTGATAATAAAGCTTGACTTGAATAGGATTTGCACTGATAAACAAGCTTAAAATATGTTCCGGGTCACCAAAAGAGAGTTATTTTCTTATATGATTGGGGTTAAACTAGTCTCTTAATCAGATGCAGGAAAGTGAAAGTTCTAGCCCCCAAAATGACAAGGAATAAATAAAATCTCCCACTAACATTACAATACGATGTTTGAACGCAGATCCTCCTCCGTGTGTGTTATTCTGACTCGTGAGGGCCTTGTCCTCGTGGCTTGGGCCCCTCCTGAGAAATCGCTTGTTCTTCTTAGCAGGATGAGCCCCGTCCCACTGTGGAGGAAGGAGAAGAGCCGGCCCGTGTCCCAGACCCCGATGAGTTTGTTCCTCCAGTTCCTCCCCCTTCCTACTTCTCCACCTTTTACTCCTACACCCCTCGGCTGGCCCGCAGGTGTGTGCTCCATGCCCTGGCTGCCCTGAGCTCCCGGCTCTCCTTGCTCGTGCCTCCGGGGCCATCGTTCGCCTGGTGATTTCCTGGGACGTGTGACGTGTGACGTGTGACGTGTGACGTGTGACGTGTGACGTGTGACGTGTGACGTGTGACGTACAGAGCAGTAAGGATCTGTAAGAAATAAATGAGTAAGTTGAGGTGTGGTGGTAGCCTACAGGCTGTGTCACCATTTATCTGTAGGTCGTTAGGTCCATCACTGCTCGTTACATCGGCCACTTTCGTGGACCACAGTTTCAGTTGCATCAGGGCGCACTTGAAAACTAGGCAGAAAGTCACCGCTTTGAAATCGGGTAAGTTAGGATTTGAAAAGAGCTATTCAACTCACATATGGGCAACCGATTTCTAGAGCTGATGGAACCAAGGGATTCTTTCAGCCGTTTCTTGATGGTGAGTAATAACTGCACCTGCACTGTAAAGTGGCCACTTTAATGATGCTGACAGTTCCTTGTTTAAAGTAGGTCCTCTTATTTTCTTTTGATTATTAGCAGAGACGTTATACATAATCATATGGCAACTGAGAATTAATTTCAGTTCTTCTGAGTGTTTTGGTCATTCTTGGCCAAATATCTAGCTGTGCTTTGGCATCTCTCTGCAAGGTTTGCCCTTTATTCTTTTGATGATTGTAATTTTAAATGAACTTTAATGTCATGTCAAATGAAATCCGTCAATCTCTTTCAAACAGAATGTTTGGCAACAGCGTGATTCCTCTGCCTCATATCTACGGAGCCAGAATAAAAGGGGTTGAAGTATTTTGTCCTCTGGATCCTCCACCCCCCTATGAAACTGTGGCAAACCAATCCGATAACACAGAGCAGGTATTTCAGCCACTCTGCATAAATTCTTACATGCAGGTGAACTAACAAAATTATTACACCAAATCAAAATCATATTTGCAGAATTCTGTCAATTTCCTGCTTTTTTTGTGAGGAAAACGGTACGGTGATATTCCTTATTTTGTTCTGCAGTTTTAAAGATGTTAAGGGCGATGTGTAAACATTTCTCTTTGAGAGCTAACATACCAAATCCATCTGCTTATTAAAACAATACTTCTATGTGTTTTTTTCCATGCCTGGAAATATCCATGCCTTTTTTGTTTCACTCCATGCCACTTTTCAGATATACTGTTTGAAGGACCCACAGATGAACATGCTTCAGTACTGTTTGCATTGTAAGAGACGGGAAAGTTTAGCAGTACAGTACATCTGGTCTTTGTTACCTTCTCCCTGTAAGTCCTCTGTCATTTCTGAGGATTAGGCTTCGGTTTCTAATTGAAACAGGCACCGAATTGTTACAACATGTGACTAAGTGATTACATATTCTATTTTAAAATGAATTTAGAATATGCAAATGACCTTCATTACATGAACTTCAAGCAGCTTCATTACATTTTCCTAGTTTAAACCCAAGACCTACAAGGACAAAGTCTAATTAACTGTTTAAGAGTGTGAAAAACTCTATTTTACTTACACACATAACACACTGACTGAATTTATTGGGATGCGTGTTCTGTCCAAAGCCAATCATTTTCTTTTATTTCTCAGGGTGCTGCAGCTGAAGTCGCAGAACTGACAGGGGGTTTAATCGAAACATCAGACACAGGTTCGTCTCATGGATATGAATTAAATTTCTGTCTTCATTGCTGACAATCCAAAGTGTGGGCAGAATTAAATACACTCACTCGCCAATTTACTTAAGTGTTGGTTTCTGCGAATCTTTATACACCCCAAATTTTACAGAAGTTGGAATCAACCCTTTCTTAGCCATCGTGTGCATACAGTTTTAATGTATATAGTAGGAAAAATTACCATTCACATTTCTAAATATATATATATTGTGTAATAAAAATATAATAAATATTTTATAATTACAATAATTAAACACTAATCATAGCATACCCTTATAAAATATACAGTACAGTAAAAAATTAAACATTGAAGAGAGAATTACCTTGGATGAAATTATAAATACTGTGCTGTACAGTACATATCATTCACCTATTACTGCCAGGTGCAGTAATTAAACAAAATAAAACACGCATAAAAATAAAATTGCTTTGGGTGCTTACCTGTCATGACTGCAACATGGGTTACTCACCGTTTTCAGTGAAAAAGAGACTGCGGTGTACAACAGAGCCCAGGAGGATGCTGGTAGAAACGCCATAACACTTACCGCACTATTTACTCTTTACATACTGTATCAGACAGGAACATTCCTGAGCTGGACAATTGTATGACAAGATGCAGGAGAGTCTTTCACATAAATTCGAATTCACGCGAGTCGAGACTTGTGTGCCCAGGGAAGAGAGTGTAGGGGGAAGGACACGGGACGAGCACCACAGTATTACTGACCACAAAAACATCTGCTTTTTTTTTTTTAACAATCTCATTGTATGGAAGTTATAGGAAATTGAAAGCTGTTTTTGAATGCTCATTCATAACTTCTTATTTTTATGTTACCAGGAATAAAAACAACGTTCAGGGAATATTTGTATTCCACTGAAGGAAATCCACCATTTACACATCAGCTCTTGCATATCAAACATTTGTTCAGAATGAGCAGAGGTCATTTCTACAGAAGGACTATACTAGCATTGCTGGATATATGTCATCATAGTTAGTAATTACTGTTTTCTGTATGCTGAGCATGGTCATCTGTACTTAAACCATTACCAGGAAACAGAAGCTATTGAACTAAACAGAACAAATCTGGATAATTTGGCGACTGATCAGCTGTTAAAGTTTTAGAGTGTGTATGCTTTACTGATGAATGGAAAGGAAAATTTCTTTTTTGAATCTAGTAGTTTTTAGTCTTGGTGCATGGGGCTGTAATTCATGTTCTGGTGTCTATAGATGGTTGCTGCCAGGCCTCGAATACTCTCCTATCACAGCCTAAACCTGGACAGGTCTCAGGAGTGGCATGTAGAAGATCTTGCAGACAACTCTTAAGAAGATCAAATAGTGACCCAGTGCTGTTGGATGTGACCACTAAAGGTATGAATATGGAAATTTGTGCTCTGTTCTTTCTTAGAAGGCGAAGGCCTGGTTATGAACCGTTTACTATTGATTGTCGCTATAGAAGGCGAACAGTTTTCTGAACTTTGTCTAGACATTGAAGGGCCTTTTTACTTTTAAATTAAAATAGAAGACGGTGCAAACGTAATTTCTAGAGCAAATATTGGTATATTTCTTAGATGTGTAAAGGGAAAGTCAAAGGAAAATTGTGTTTTTTAATGCACATGGGAACCCACACTGCAAACACACCAGACAGACTTCAAGCTCATTATCCCTTTTCAAACACAGTGCAGGACAGTCTGAACACTAAATGTGTTTAAAGGCTGTAACATGTAAGATGCAACAGGGGTGCAATGTGTTAACACTGCAGTGATTCATACATAACATGATGAATATGAAAACCTTGTGCAGTACAGCTTTAGCACATATGTAATAATAATAATAATAATAATAATAATAATAATAATAATAATAAAACTTTATTTTATATAG